ACTCCCAGCCGTGTGTGAGAAAAATGTTTTCCGCTTCTTTCGTTCCTCAGCCAACGGAAAACCACACGTAATAACGGGGTGGCCGTAAGGTGGGGTTTCACTGTACAGTCACGTAACATGGCTTGAAAAGATCTTAAATTCCACCTTGCTGTTGAGACAAGTAGCTCTCAAACTTTGCTTGCCCTGTTTTGAATTAGTCAGCAGACGACTTGCCTTGGCCCTTGCCCATTGGGCAAGTGAGAATGAAAAGTAACTTGCCCAGCAGCAAAACCTACTTGTCCCAGACAACCAGGTGACCTTTTTTTCGAGCCCTGAGATGAGGATTTTTGAAAGTCAGTGTTAACTTTACATCAAATGAATACAGGGTCTGGCAAGCATTATTTTTTGAGACTGTCACAGTACTTGTACATTTGACTATACACATTTACTATACATGCTTTTTACAATTTAATGCTGTACCTGTTAGCAGTCATTTTTAAATATTCTGTAATTTCATTGAACTGCTTTTCAGAGTAGCTCCAGGTCAACTCAAGAACATCTCTGCAAATTGTTCAAAGCATTGGAATCTTTTTACCATCCCTTGAATAATGGACGTTATTCAGTGAGTACTTGTACAGTGTATACATGTAGTCAGAATGAAACTGTATTTTACTTTAGTATCAGGGTTGCCATGGACAGAGAAAAGTCGGAAAATTAGGTAACTTTTATTCATGGTCAGGGAAAAGTCAGGGAGTTTTGTATCAGGTCAGGGAGTTTCTAAATCCCTGTTCAAAGTCAGCGAAAAGTCGAAGAATTTTATCTTAAGGTTGCAACAAATTATTTTATTGGATGTTTTTGTATAGACAAGGCAATTTTGTTTGAAAAATTATCTGATAAGTCAGGGATACATGTATTTTTTTGTTCTGGTGGGTGGCAACCCTGTATCTGTAGTATGGTTATTGAAGGTCATGGGCTCCTGAAGTTATGTACTATTTCAATTGAATTAAGGTGTGCATTTACAAAGTTTCTATTGATCCCAGACGTCTGTTGAAATGGCTTTGTCTCAGGTTATTGCACTCACTGTTGATTTTAGCTGCAGATTAAACAAAAAGATGTGATGACAACGTACTTGGCTACAGTTTGTAGTACAGCTGTGGCAAATCCCTCAAAAGTACACATGTAGCAAGTTTGAGGCAAATCTTATTCATGGGATGGATTTTGCATTGTTCCAACTCTTCTTTGCAACATAAGTGGAAAACTCAACAAACTTGTAAACGGACTGTGAAGCACCTTCCCTGATGGCAGGAGACTCGCTCATCACACGATCATGAAATTCATTATCACATGACCACTTTTTTGAGTCCGTGGAGCAATAGTATTTACAGTTTCACCTCTCATAAGCTGTTACAGGCTTTTGAAACCAGTTCAAAAATTTGATACTGGTTTGGAGAATTTTGTACCAATTCAGAACCATGGGCAAAAATTGAACTACACGGTAGATATCCATGTGTATACATGCACATTGTAGACCTCTGTGCATGTAAATCATGATAATTGTAGTGGTCTGTATTGCAAAATCAGACTGCTAACAGTTGTAGGGAGCCAATCAGAATGCATTTATGTATGGACATATATGTGTAATGTTCATCACTATTTCTTCTTCTCAGTCACAGGGTAAGCTCCAGAGGTTTCTTTACAACTTGCCCAAAGAGATGATCAAGAGGCTTCACAGGTACATGTAATGAAACATGAATTGAGATAATTAATTGATTATATTAATTATCTTTTACTGTGGGCAGAATAATTAATTTCATACCTGAATGATAACAAAGAACATGTACAAACATGTATACAGTGGAAGAAAGGTGTCTGTCTTCCCTATAATATTGTTAGTAAGAGTATGTGTACACCATCAGAGAATTTTGAAGTTCTTGTAGCAACTGGAGAACTTCTTTTACATGTGTGTGTACAAGCCCTACAAAAAGCCTTTTTAAACCTGTCCAAACTCATGGCTTATTGGAATTTTATGGTCAGATATCACACTACACGTACTTCTTTGCACATAGTTTACATGTTGATGATTTAGTGGACATGACTGTAATTTGTTCTTGCTACAGCGGCATGTATATGATAGTTTTACTTACATGTAACTATGTTAAACTTACATATACCACCTTAAATTGTTTTCTTTTTTCATGAGAGAGATTTCCAAGGAATTCTTGGGAGACCCCCATTCCAGAAGAATCCAAGCTGAAGGATGATGACCTGACGGCATTTGTAGAGTGCCTCAAGCCTGCCGTCATGCTAGCGGTGTTTAACAAGAATGGAAGCTTTGATGCTGCTGGGGCACTGCAAAATCTGGCTCTGATCAAACCAGACATAGTCCTTCAAACT